TAAAATTGATAAAAACTTTGGTCCATTTTACGATTCTATTAGTGGCTGGATAATGGGAAAACATCGAATAAACTTTGACAAACGCAATGGAGACATATTAATAATTCGAGAACGTAATTTAGAAGAACGTAGGTTAGGTGGTACGCCAGGTCTATATCAACTTTTATTTTATGCCAACCCTGAACAGTATAATGATGAGGATTTACAAAAGTATAAAACACTGTTGAAAAACACAGAGATTCATCTGGATACCTTAGGACGTCTTAAAGGTTCCAGTGGAGAAAAATACCATTCTATTATTAAACCTCTATTCAAACCATCTGATACAGCAATGAAAAAACGTGCACCACCTGCAACTCGATCCAAAAAAGAACTCGAACACAAAACGAAAACAACAACACGATCATCACCATCTACAGCCAAAGGAACGGGATTGGATGACTCTCGTTTAACATACAACACTGCACCCATGGAGTATATTTATTGGGATGTCCAAATGAGTTAGTTAAACGTCTTAAACTATTGGTGGCTTCGAAAGACGCCAGCAACACATCTCTCGACAACGAAATCGTACCCATAATCAATGAACTAAAAGAAGCTAATATAATAGAGTAACTCGGGATATGATAACATCATTTCCATTATGAGTGTCGACAAGTTCGGTCATCACTCTCGTAGTCGTAACGCCCAAAAGGTGGCGCGAGTCACATTTCCACATACGTCTGACGGAAATATTAATGCCGAAAATGTAAAAATTTGCAATGTCAAGGATCCATCAGACAAAGACGATGCTCCAACGAAAAAATAAGTTGATGGACAAATCAATGAGTTACGTAATCTGCACCAAACACATGGTGTGCTGTTGCAGCAAAAAACTAATGAAAAACAAAATTTAACCATCGGCCTAAACTATGCAAGAAAGGAGCTTCATGAAACTACGGTTCCACTTCTCGAGCAAAAGTTACAAAAAATAATCAAAGATGGTCTGGAAACACTAAAATTCCAAATATCTACAGGACTGAAGCATGCACAAAAAGATCTTGATAACATTAAAGCTACAGTAAGAGAAGAACTTCGTAAAACTATACTTTCACTTCTAAAGCAAAAGATGCGAAAAATAATCAAAGATTGGCCAGAATACACTGAAAAATGATGCGGAAAACAATACAAATATGTTATTAAAAATAATCAAAGATGATTTGAAAATACTGAAAAAGGATATGGAGGATGCTCTCGAGCAAAAGTTCCAAAAAATAATCAAAAATGGTCAGAATACACTAAAAAATGATACGGAGAATAGTATAAATATGTTGTAAAAAATAATCCAAGATGATTTTATTACACTGAAAAGGGATACGATAAAAAAAAGTGGAACAATCATTAAAAAGCATAGTAGATAGCGTTCATTCATGGGATATAGACAAACGTCTTAAGGTAGTGGAAGGTGCGTTAAAATAATGTCTAAAGAAAAGAAAGAGGTGGTGTATGAGTTGCATAAACCAGCACGAAAAAACTATCCTCGTCGACGAACAATAATCAAAGGAATCGATGACTTGTGGCAAATGGATTTGGCTGAAATGCGTCCTTATGCCCACAAAAATAAAAATTACAAACTAATACTAGTTGTAATTGATTGTTTTTCAAAATTTGTGTGGATACGTCCTCTAAAAACGAAGACTGGTGAGGAAATTACTCGGACATTTTCGGATATTCTCGCTCATACTCGGCGCTCATACTATAGCACATACACGATTAAAAAAGCTGCCATTTGTGAAAGAGTTATTAGAACGTTAAAATCAGTTTATATAGATCATACAAATGGATCGATATCTTATCTCAAATTACTGAGGAATACAAAAATACAAAACACAGTAAAACACGATACAAACCATCTCAGGTTAACAAATCCAACAAAAAAGCCATTTTAAACAAAAATTATAGCCATTTAAAGATTGCTGACCCGAGAAAATTTAAAGTTGGCGATATTGTACGTGTCTCAAAGGCAAAACATTTCTTTGAAAAGGCCTACACACCCAATGGGACTACAGATTTTTTTAAAATTGTACAAGTTAAGATAACAAATCCTACAACGTATTTGCTCGAAGACATGCAAGGTGCACCGATTAGCGGTGGTTTTTATGAAGAAGAGTTGCAGAAAACATCAAATTCTGACATATACCTGGTTGAAAAAGTACTTAGACGAAAAGGCAATAAGATGTATGTCAAATGGTTAGGAATGGATAGCAAACACTACAGCTGGATAAATAAATCGAATATAGTTTGAGGATCTATATTTTGATACGCCGCGTAGACATACACTTTTCCAAAAAGGCTGGCAATTAACCACAAGGAGTGGGGAATGACAAAAGTATAAATTTAAGAGAAACTACGATGATCAGTTTATATTCACTTCGTCAACGGTGTTCGAAAAAACAGTAGTGGCATGGGTTATCAAGATAGTGGGTATTCTTCAGACAAAGACTATAATCAAGAATTATATAGAACTTTCGAAAATTATGAGGCTGCAGCCAAATTAGAATTTTTCTACCAACTTGCAACAACATGCACAGTATCGGGCTACGAAGTACAATGTGGTATAAGCACTGCAAGATCATTTACGCCTGCAGTGATTTTATCTCAACAATATAAACCTAGCAGAATATCACTCAGCGTATACGAATGGGCTTCCTTTATTTCAATCATCACACAACAACTTATTGATTTTTTTCAATCAACTGATGAGAACGAGCTCCAAACTTTTCTATGCGGAGAATACTGCACTGTTACCACAGTAGTTTACGATAATTATAAATTCATCATCGCTAAGAAGCATGGTGTGGAGTACTATATGGATGAAGAAGAAGTGAGACAAATTGTTGAACTTAACACTAGTGTAGTATCGTCTCGTATGCAGTTGTTAGAAAATTTGAACTTTTGTGAATATTATTATGAAGTTTTAGATTTTTGTAAAAATACTGTAATAGATAGTTTAAGTCCCTTGCAAATATTGTATGCGATTTGTTCTATAATGCCAAATGCTTTGACAAATAATGCTCTTGGGGAATTCGTTTATTTTTATAAAAATAAGGTAATTATTGATTTGAATAAATAATAAAATTGCAAATTTAGAATTTTTATTTACACATAAAATATGACACATATATTTTTATTTACAATATACAAGAGAGATTTGACAAATAATGCTCTTGGGGAATTCGTTTATTTTTATAAAAATAAGGTAATTATTGATTTGAATAAATAATAAAATTGCAAATTTAGAGTTTTTATTTACACATAAAATATGACACATATATTTTTATTTACAATATAAAGAGAGATTGTAGCTTATTACAATATACAAGAGAGAGATAGCTTATTAATATTAGACATTTGTCATTCATCTCAATATACTCTCAATGTCATTTACAATATACAATCAAGAATCGGTATCTTTTATTTCAAATATTATTTTTGTTCCTCAACTAGATCTAAGTCCAACAAACTAATGATAAAATATAAGTAAGTTATATCTGTGTTTACAATTATTTGTATTGATAAACCCCACAGTTTAGACACCCACATGGCCTCTCTTTTAGACAGTTCTTCACAATTTGTAGTTTTAATTCTCTTATACAATTTACGTTTAAACTGGATTGTATTTGATGGGTATCTTAAAATACACGGTACATCCTTGCTTACTGTACCATCGTTCAATGCCAATCACATCTTGGGGGAGAGAACGTTTCTCTCCACTTGTAAGTGTAAATATCTTTGTATTAGCATCAACTACAGTCCAATAAATTTTATCGGCTGCTATTTGTTGTAGTTTGAGGGGAGTCCATAGCTCTTCTACTGTGGGTGTAACGCACCTTTAAGGAATTGTTTTCATCAACGTTCTTCTGCAATAAAAAAATCTATTCTAAAATACTGTAATGTCCCCATGGTAGCGTTCTAAAACTATTAGGAATTAAATATCTTTTATCGTCATAAGGACTTAGCGCAATTTTTGTCTGTTCTATACTATAAACGTTATGGCTATATGACCGAATGGAATGTTGAGTAGCAGTTTGTTCCTTAAAATGATTTAAACAGTTTCCATAATCATCGAATTTTATCACATTTTTTACTACATTAGGTTTAGTTCCTTTTGCTTTTTTAGTGACTCGGCCCGATTGAACTTTAAAAGTGTGCATTTTTGAACGTAATCCCACAAACTTTGTCATAATTTCTCCTTTATTTTCATCCTTCATTACTCCCAAAACCGAATAAATCGAAATTTTATGTTAGTAACTGCATCATTAAGTCTAAATGAAATGTATTTTTCTTTATTGACTGGAAGTAGACTAATATCTCCTTTTTACTTAATTCTGAAATTATAAAATGACTATCGTAGCCACTCAGATTGTGAAAAATCACTGGGACGACAAAGACTTTTTTAAAATTTAAATTACATGCCTGGTGGGCGAAATTTCTGAACTCTCCTGTAAAATGATCGTGATCTCTGACAACGATATCTGTAAGGAAAAAACATTTTTCACATATGTGGCACACTGTAGCCACACAAGTGCTCGGTTTTTCCTCCATTGGTATAATTCTCTTCATTTTTGAATAAATACTTTGAGCTAAATTTAGCATTTCATTAGCAAACCAATCCATGCAGTCAATGCCTCTATAGCTCTTTAAAAAAGTTAACTTTTCATCATAACTACATTTTACATAGTATCCGGCATTATATGGAATATATTTTTGATATTTTTTAGTAGAATGAGATGTTTGGTGATCTGTAACTTTTTCTAGCATGCACTCAAAATCTGCATATATGACAAATGGTGTTGTTTATTTATAAATGTAATTTTTAAAACTAACAGCTTCATATTTAGGAAATGACATTTTACAATTATTAATATCTGCACACATTTTTTCATGTTCTGACAATTTCTCTTCAGTTGAAAAATAATTTAAGAATCTATTACAAAGAAATATTTTGGCCTTTTATTTACTTGGTTAGAAATTAATTTAGATAAGTTCGTAATGTGGCAGTAGTGGTACTTAATTTCAGAATTATCATTATCTACTGGAGGTGCTTCATAATCGTTTAATTTAGGAAAATACTGATTTTGAATTAAAAGAATATTTACATGTTTGGCAACTACTGTTTTAGTTAATCTTGATGGATATACTGTGAAAAATGACTTTGCATTATTTTCTATCAATTCTAAAGCATATACATTGACGGAGATATTATTAATTTTCTCAAATTTTGAAATTTGATGTAACGGCATTGGTACCTCCAAGTCTTCTGTTTTTAATACTGTACTGTACCATGGATATGAGGACGTACGTTCTTTATTTACTTAAGCCGGATAGAGCGCCCTAACTATTGTCCAATAAAAACATGCCTGATCTGAATTTTTTACGTTAATACAAGCTCACGTTTTTTGAATAGACTCTGGGAGTTTAATATAAGATGAACCATTTCCAATTTCATATCGATTAATATTAACTTCTAAAGATACAATTCTATTTAATGCAAAACCAGAGTCCTTTTCCTGAAATTCAGATAACTTATTATTTATTTTATCTTAACATTCTCAAAAAACCATCGCTCTGTATCGGTAGATACGTCTAGTATACCATTTTTTGTATTAAAATATTTCAAAGTTAATATTTCCTCCTCCCCCGATTTTTTAATAAATTCTCCACAAAAACAAACATTAACTTTAACAACTTTATCTGCTTTTAAATTTTTTCTGATTTTATTTTTAAAAATAATATAACAGTCATTTAGGAAATGTGCTAGGTCCTTATGATATAAATTAATTATAACTCCAGTTTTAATTCGACTATTGAACGCGGAAACAACATCTTCCCATTTAACCCTTGTTTTTAGTTTATTATTTAGTCCCATACCTACATGTCTATTTAAAATAATCTGTTTAAAATGTTTAAAATGTCCGACATGCGTTTGCAGTTTTCAAATTGTACCTATAGGCAAATTGTGTTTTTTTTTTATTACTTTATTGCAAGTTTTCATTTGTTTCGTTATGCGTTTCAACCAAACTTCTTCGTCGTTAGCTGTGAATTTATTAAAAACTATCTTTCTGACTCTTTTGATGAATAACAACAAATTTTCACATTGTTTAACAATATCCATAATGCTTACCTCTCTCTTTCTTTTGACGCTCTAGATGATTTCAAACGCTGGACATAGGCTGGTATTTGCTCCCACGTCCACCCTCTTTCTTTTGACGCTCTAGATGATTTCAAAGCTGGACATAGGCTGATTTGGGCCCCACGTCCACCTGACCTCGGTATACTAGGGAGTATTTACCGGAACCAAACTCTGGCACTGCTGAAAGGTATGCTTCGGTCACTTGTTCTGGTAGAAAAACCACCTCTTCGCCTATGTCGAGTAGGACGGATTGTCCAAATTTAGTCTTTACAATTCTTGCCTCCTTGATTAGTTGTGGGATGTTTATCGGCAAGTCTTTCAGTTTTCTCACAGGTTTTCTCGCTGCAACGACAGACGCTGAGTTAATTTTAGTTAAATCCATCTGAAATAAAAGAATAATATACTAGCAAAGCAGAAAAGTTGCAAAATCAAAAGAGAAACACCGAAAAAAAGATTTATGACATGAATAAGAGGAAAATGTACAGTAAACAAAAAATAATTGGCAATTATTTATTGAAACTACAGGTGCTGAATTGATTTTTATATAGAATACGAAAAACATAAAAGTAAAGAGACAAAATGCTGACGTATTTTTTGTAGGCAGTTATTGCGACTACAGATGATGAATTTTTATCAAATCTCGGAATGTTATAAACAGCAGAGCAAACAATATCTAATTAAAAAAAAAGCAAAAAGACAAAATGCTGTCGCCTTTTTGTAGACAGTTATTGCAACTACAGATGATAAATTTTTATCTAATCCCGGAATGTTATAAACAGCAGAGCAGACAACATCTAGTTTGTTCAAAAAAGAAAAATTTAAAAATCTTAAAATATTTATTTATATATATATATATATATATATATATATATATATATATATATAATCTTTCTATATCGTTAAAATAAAGATAATTACGAAAAACACAAAAAAACCTAAAAAGTAAAAAAGACTACTTCAAAATGCTTGCATGAGGTCACAATTATTTAATTTTAAAAAAATCTTAAACTTACCTTGTAATCCAGTTACACTAACACAGACACTGTCAGAATAAAATTGATACTAAAGCCTGAAATTATTTCGTTTCAATTTAAAGCTGCTGTTGCGTCGGTACCCTCCACTTAGATAAGACAATTGACGTATTTCAGAATGTTTGCGCTTGCAAAATTATGTACGGTTTAATCATTTTGTTTTGGAAAATACCAGCATTCCTCGTGCACATGATAAGAAATGCAGTTCAATAATAAAATGTGGGTATGATAACAAAATTATGGTAAATTAAAATAGTTGGAAAATACCAACATTCCCTGTGCATGTGATAAGAAATATAAATACCTGCCGCTATTTCCTATGCGGTATGCTAATTTTCTGTTACCATTTATTTTGCGTCGTTATTTTCAACGTTTAATTATTTCTTAATAATTTACATAAATAATTTTGAGATTAAATTCCTAGCCGCTATTTCCTGTGCACGCGGTATGTAAATGATATGTTAACATTTATTTTTTATTTTCAGCGTTTTTTACTTTAAATATTTCTTAATAATTTGTATAACTTAATTAAACATTTTGGGGATTAGTATAAATCAAGATGCTTGTCTGTTTTACATGTCTTATTGTTTGCTCTCTGTAACTGTGTGTGCAGAAAATAGCACTCTGGAGTATGCTAGTTCTTTTCTAATGCGTTTCGGATATCTAAATGCGTCAACTAATGCTATTTCTAGTGTAGATATGACCTTAGTTGAATTTCAAGAAAGATACAATCTTCCGGTGACCGGAACATTAAATAATGATACTATGAATATGATGAATAAGCCTCGATATTCTGTTGGCGACAATAACTATGCAATTCGAAGTGGAATAAAACGAAATTAAGTTGGTATTTTCCTCAAGCTACAAGTAATCCTAGTTATATAAATCTTCCTGCAGAAGCTTTCGCTAGATGGGAGAAAATATCTTAAAGTTTAAACGAGTAATAATACCTTCTTCAAAGCCGGATATTACTATAACTGTGGTGTCAAATAATCATAATTTTCGAGAAAGTTGTCGAGGAACCTCTAAATGTTCATTTAATTTCGTATTTCAGAATTGTAAAGGTATTGGCCCACACATACTATGTCAGCGCAAACGGCGAGTGTACCGAAATTCATCTTGATGCTAATGAACGGTGGTACGTAGGAAATGGTAGAGCTCCTGATGGGGAAGTCAATTTTTTGGCTGTCCTAATGCATGAAATTGGCCATTCCCTCGGACTGGAACATAGTAATAGTGATTCGTCTATTAAGTATGCTTAGTATCAACAAGATGTGTTAAGTTTTGGTGATGACGATAAAATCACAATGAGCATGCTATATGGACAAACAGAAGCTCCCTCTTCGATACCAACAACACCTGTTACGCAAGTGCAAACAATTTCACAAACCGGGAGATATGTACCGAAAACACCTGCACTAAAAAACAGGGCCTATTTGCCGAAAACACCTGCAATAAAAACATATGTCTATGTAATATGTAATAAAAACATATGTCTAATTTAGTATCCCGATTTCATGTTTCTAGCTACATCTCCACAATTTCCAAATTATCGAATGTACGTTGGGTCTGATATTTATGGAAGTTTGATTTAAATGAGGCGTCTTCCTGAACGAATTACCGATTATCTCCCTAAAGAGTTGAGGTCTACGCAAGTTTCATATGTTTTTCAGAATTCCGAGGGACACCTAATAACTGTAAGCAATAATAGGTATTACGCTGCATCTTTCCCCAATTTAAAACTTTAAAAAAGTTTTACGTTTCCTTCTATACCTGGAGGACCAATGAGTTTATTTACTTTTTCAAAACAATACCTATTGTAAGTACAGCGAATGCACACGTAGAGTCGTAGCAGCAGGAACGTTCAGTTGGGAACTTTTGACTGCCCTAAAGACGGTCTATTAAAAACAATTAAAAACTTTGTTAAATAAAATTGTAGCTATATACGAATAAAGATTACTGTGTTCCTTCTTAGTGATAGTTCTTTTAATAAAAAATTACATTGTTTATGTTGTTTTATTTAGAATTCAAAATTGGTCAGCCGCGCCCTTATCTCCGAGATCCCGATGCATCGCATAAAAAATTAAGGTACCGACCGCACATCTGGTTCGCATACCGTATTCTCTAACACATTTTCCCTATGTCTATAGTCATGACCGTGACTTCTCTCTCTCTCTCTCTCTCTAACACATTGATTTCCCTATTCTGATAGTCACACCCGTGTTGTTCATCTACTCCCAAGTACTTCACTTCTCGTCGAAACAAGTAACATTTCTTCGGAATTAACTTCAAATTCGTTGCACGCAATCGTTGAAAGACTTCTGTCAGATTATTCGCATGTTCATCGACAGATCTTCCAACCACAATTACATCCTCCAAATACACCAGGTATGTTTTTCATGTTAGACCTCTTAAAATTGCCTCCATTAATCATTCAAATGTGGCAGGGGAATTACATAAACCAAATGGCATAACTGTGAACTGCCAAAGCCCTGATCCTATCGGGAATGCGGTTTTCTCCCGATCAGCTGGCTCCATGCCAGCTGATAAATAACTAAAAACAAGCCGACAAAAGATCGATGAACAAAGGTATTGACCAAAAAGTACAAACTTTAATAGCTTCGAGAAAAAGCTGGTAAATGGGGAGGCGACTTAACTCAAAAAATTAAGGCGACTGAAAAAAGTATTGCTACAAGAAATCCACCACTTTCACGTGTAAAATCTAAATACCTCTTCTTAATATCACGCTCTTAGACTTTAAGTGTGGAAGAGGTGGATTTCTTGCAGCACACAGCAGCTGATTTTTGCTCGGTACTTCACTGCTTAGTGGATTAGGCTTCCATTTGCTACATTAGTAAAGCAGATCACAGCATAATTTTCAGTCGCAGACATGGTAGTTGTTATTTGATTGACTTGTTAAGATTTTTTAAATGACTGATGTCGATATGGCAGTTGATCCTTGTATAAATACATATTTTCATACCTTTAGGCCATTCTCTTAATACTCGTTTAAATTACATCTAGTTATTTTTGGGTCATACAGTAATAAAACCATAACACAGCCACCACTCATGTATTTTAATAATTATTAAAATTTCCTTTCTATGAAAGTCCAATGTGTAGAGGCTTGCAGCTGTAGAATATATTCCCGCAATCATTTTGTCGACACGATGACTTTAAATATAACAAGATTTTTTAAGGTACATCGGTACATTTGCTGCTCCAGACATTTGCTGTCTCTCATACTCCAGGTCATTACCCGTACCGTTTGCACTCCCTGATTCACTCTACTGGGATTAACTTAGAGAACGTTATAGAATATACCAAATTTAAATAGCTTATTACTGGAGTTGACTCCAAGGCCCATCATACCATTAGGAGTAGCGAAGATATAAACAACAGAGTTGTAGGTAAGTTACTTTTTGATTACCTTTGCACTACTGAACTTGATTTGCTGAACAGGCGTAATAAGCCCACCTTCAGGACATCAGGAGGAATCATTGATCGATCAAAATTCCATGGGGATTGGGGACATGATATCTAGCTGGCATATGACGGATGCGTTATCCTTATCGGACCTTATATACATATATGAGACAAACTGGAACCAAAACTTTATAGAGAATCTAAGGTGGTCTATCGGGAATCCTCAAAAGAGATAACATTAATAAACTCAAGTCAGTTAAATTATATCAACGTTGCTATTTAATTTGACCTTATAAAATGCCATAAGTAAAATATCGTCTGAGCTGACAGGGGGATTTGCGAATAGAGGATCAAAACTATTGTTGGCATTTGCTGATGATCTAAATGCAGTCGCTCATTATACATGAGACCAGAATCTGTTGATAAGTGGAACATAGTCGTTGATGAGCTGCTGATTCGTGTGCTTAGCAGCCAAAGAATCTGGATTCAGTGTTAACCAGACGACATTGTAATAGTGACTAGGGTAAAATTCCCAGTGTTGTTGGGGATCAGATGTGATAGGTCGTTCATTACATGGAGAGTTCGTGTCTGAAAGACCTCTGTAGCCTTCATTAATAAAAGTAAGCGTAGTAGACTGAGTGACCTGAAATTCTTTGGAAGAGAACTAGAAAGAACCTCTGAATTGAAAACTCAAGTGAAGCACTCATAAAAACAATATACTTAAAATGGCTAAGCGACTATTCTGAAATTTCACACGAGTTGTATGTAAAACCGGGTTGTTGAAACCAAAGATAATCTGTTGGTTATACACGTTAGTATAACCATCATCGTAACCTCCATTAAAACAAGAAGCAATTATCAGTAAAAGAACGAAAGTTAACAAAAAATGTTAAAATGTGTAAATAATAGAGGTGGGAACGAATAT